GGCTGATCATTGCATTCTGAGATACCACTTTTTGGTAGCAGGTTAAAAGGCTCCTCTGTAACATCTAACTAGTTCTCCTCTACCTCCCCCAGCTACACAGGCCAAGGCTAATGCTGTTCCCCAGGACCGGTCCTTACAGTGCCAAGCTGCTGGGCTCCCATACAGAATCCCATGAGGGGATTCTGTTCCCCTCATCAACTCCACAGAAATGTAGTATGTTTCCACAACAGGTCAGGCTATAGCTACAAAGACCTGGTCCCTGCCCTAAGCAAGCTCACAGTTGTGGAGGAGAGAGCCGTGTAAATAATGTCCTTGCAGAATGGCAGGTGCAGATGAGGAATAGTACCTTGTGACTAAAGAGTAGATGCACTGAATGGGGAGGGTCACGAGGTAGGGGTGGGGGCTGGTTTCCTGGTTCCTCAACATCCTGCTGAGTGGCAGTTTGATGCTAAAGATGATGGAAAGTCAGAAAAGAGCTGAGGATGAAATACAGAAACAAGAATACACGAGAAAGACTGCTCTCCTTTTGTATCTTGAGCTTGCTCCCTTATCTAGGAACCTTATCAGAGAACCTTATCAAGGGTTCTGAGAGTATAGGAGCTGGGAAGCGTTAGAGGCGACAAGGAGTCTCATTCCCAGACGGTCTGATTGACCCCCTACCCAGGCGAGGGCCTTGGTGTCCCCATCCACAGATGATAGTGGCTTAAGCAGCCCTTGTCGCAGAAAGACTGATCAAGAACTCAAGGCATTTGGTGACTTTGGTCCTTGTTTCTGAGGCAAAACACAAAGGAGTCTCTATAATCTGAAGCACGTTTTTCATCTACGTTCCTCCTGATGACATTTTATATACCTCCTTCTAAGATCTATTTAGACCAGTTCACACTTCTGACTGACTAGGCTGGGAAAGGAGCGTTTCATAGATTCCTTTATGAGAGAGATTTGCATATCTGCTGGTATGTTAATGGTGCAGTGGCTAGGGAGAAAATTAACTAAATTTGACTCTGGTTTCATACCCTTGAAGTGTAATTCTTATTTTGTTGTTTTGTTTCCTTTTTCTATTTTTAAAGATAATTCTCCCCCTACCCCTCAAATAACCACTCACCTATTCTAAGAGCCAGAGATTGAGTGTTCTCATAACCAGCCATGAGTCAGACAACCTTTTACTCCTGTTGTAAATAGAAACATAAGCTCTGTTCCTGCATGTACTTCATAGGCTGTCTGTCCAGCACTTTCCTCCACAGCCAAGGAATGTGCAGGGCTTCTGAGTCAGCAGTCAGCTGCCACAGGACAAAACAGGCAAGATATTGTCAACTGGCAGAAATTGCAGTGATGCCCTGGAAACCTGGCATCCCCTCCTCTTCCTCTTCCCTCCTCAGGCTATTCACTTCCCTTATCCCTTCCTTCCACACCTTGGCTTTTCAGTCCCCAGGATTTCTGGCACCTTCCGGCCAGGTTTCCTGGTCTCTAGGTTCCTGTGATTATGAATGTTGCTTTTGCCAGGATACTGCTATGTGTGGTGCACAGGGGTGGGCCAGGAGAGGCCAGGAGGAGCGTGATCTGGGTTTGACCTTCAGGAATGAGGGAAATGAGGGCGATAATAAGAACAGCCCTTCTCCTGTAGTTCTCCCTGGCTGCTCTCATAGTGAATCAGAATGCCAGATAAGTCTTACTAAATGAGACTGTCCCATTCCAGCAGAGCGACAGAATAATGCTGAAGCACGCTAGAGTGTCTTCCTCATGGGTCATTTGGTTTGCAAAGTAGGAAAAGTGAGGCAGCCCGAGGGAATTAATATTGTGTAGTCTTACCTTGGGTGCCTGTCGCATTGTTCCAGGAACCAACTTACCTCTATTTATCTGTTGTCATTAGTGACCTGCAGGTTGAAATCTCTTGGACTGGGCACTTAATACTTGCCTGCCGCTCAGAAGCAGGCGCTCTGCAGCTGTCTGGGAGCTGTGGCTGAAACCTGTTAATTTCAAAGTGTTTTACATCAACAGAAGGATTGGGGGCCAGTTGTTAATGAAGGTGTTCGTCTGTGGTGGGGTCTGATTTGGAAATTCTCTGTGGTAGTTAGCAGCTCTGTGGAAGTGAGTATTTATTTCAAACAGTGGGCTGCAGCCAACCGAGGGGGTGTTAGCTTACACACTCTCCTTTGAAAATAAATGCCTAAGACTTTCTGAGGGAGGTGTGAGCATGAGGCAGGCGTTACAGCAGGCGTTATGGGGAAAGCCTTTAGAAATGCTTGTTGCAGGATCTTTAATGTGTTGGTTTCAGCAAGAACATGGGTTACTGAGTGCCAAGGCCAAATCCTGGCAAGGAGTGGAATGTGGCTGCTGTTTAGGAACAAAGAAAAATCATTTTCTCCCTTGACAACAGAGGCAGAGAGATTAGACCAGGTGTCTTCAAAGCTTTGCAAACGTTGGGTCTCTGGTAGAGTTGAAGTTGACTACGAACTCAGGGTATGCAAGGTCAGGATTGCAAAATGCTGTCAGCTTGCCAAAAAACAAACAAAACTACAGAAATTCCCACAAAGAAGGCAAGAGGCAAAGAGGGCCCCTGATGGAGTGAACACCCTGGGACCATTGTTTCTGGTCATTGGTTGTCACCTGTCACCCTTCTGCCTTTGGATAAACACATCTGGCTTTTTCTGCCCCTGCAAGCCATCTTTTAACTACCTTCCATGTCTAGGATAAGCCTTGGCTCATAAGAAAAAGAATGGGCTCTTTTTAGGAACTTTAAAATATTTCTCCTGCTGTTTCCTGCTACCTAGAATAAGATTTTATTTAGGAGAAACTGAAGGTTAATTCCAGTTAATTCCATTTCTTGCTGGACTCTTGGCCATGTGGATATTGGGATGAGCTGCACTTTTCAGCAATGTAGTTTTTATATCCAGAGCCAGGAGCGCTTGTTGAGTGAGTCATGTGAGTCATGTATTTCAGATGAGAGGCTGAGTCAGTGTGCTTTGGATAAAAAATTACCATCTTCAGCTTGGCCTCCACAGAACATGGAGAGTGTTGTGTCTGTTGACGTAGAAAACACGAGAGGAAAATGGCAGTTCTTGTGTTTAGTTATTACTTTCTCTCATGAAACTTGACACATCTCCAGTTGATTTGGTTTAACCTTATACTATCATGGTGAGGTGTAGGAAGAAGCAGAATTTTATTTCTGCTTCACAACAGGGGATTTTGTTGCTCAGTGGCTTACCCAGTGTAAGAGCTTCAGGACAGAACATGGGTCTCTTCCATGTCAGTCTAGAACCTGGTGCCTGTCTTCTGAGAATTGATTTCATTAGCACATACAGTTTGGTGGTTCCTCCTACCCTTTTGGTTAGTTCACTTCTTGCTTCCACACCCCTCCTGAACACAGTGGATTGACAACTCCCTTCCTTCATCTCCCCACATCTGCAAGGGTAAATCCTCTTTAAATCAAATTTCCAGTGCAGTCCTGTTTGTCACATTTGTGGTAAATTGATGATGCACCTATGATGAATCATTCTGACTAGAGCATCAGGAATAAGTCCTGTGACTGTGAAGATTTTCTCAGCACTAAACTCAGAGAACTTCAGAATTGGAAGCAAGTTTCAGAGATGGTCCAGTCTAACCTCATGGTCCTACACAAGGGAAAATTGAGGCCTAGTGAGGCAAAGTGGCTTATTCAGGGTCATGCAACCACTATCTGGTACATGTGGGCTCAGAGCCATGTTAGTGCTCATCTCGTTGACCTGTCCTACTTCTCTGTTTGTCCTATGGCTTAGTTTTGGTTTTTGGCCCTTTACTTCCTCCCTCCCAATAACAGTTCTAAGTGGTAATTATAAATAAAACGTGGTACAAAATGTTGAGACAGACCCCAGGGAGTGAGTGGATAAAGGAGCACCTAAGGTGCCATCTCTCGTCTTAAAGCTTCTATCTAGCAAACATAAGATGGTAGGTGTGTGGTGGTAGGTTTTTGATAAGTGAAGGTATAGACATCATCGTTATTATTGTCAAATAAGTTGGTGGGCAAAATGGAGTGACTCTAAAATCTTCCCACCCTGCCATGGAGCACAGGCAGTGTGGCAGGACTTTTTCAGTCCTTTAAATCCCTGTTGACTTGATGCTCCTGAGATGACTATGGCACTGCCCTTTGGTTCTCTTCAGACTTCTCTCCACTGTGCCTCATCATCTTTTTAGAGAGCTCATCTCGCTCTGCCAGCCCCTTACAAGTGGATGAGTCCAACTCTCATCCAGAGCCCAGGCTCTTCTCTTCCCATGGATTCTCCGTGTGTGATTTAACTGGCTTTCATAGCTTCAACTATCACCTGGATGTTAGTGACTCCCAAATCTGGAACTGGGGCCCAAGCTACTCCCCTGAGCTTCAGATTCGTACCAGACTGCCTAGAGAGCACCTCCACTAAGGCAGCTCAACGTAACAGGTCCAAAAGGGAACTCGCCACCCCACCCTCACAAAAGAGTTCTTCTGTTTTTAGTCCATTGGCCTAGTGTCACCATTTACTCAGTGACCTAAGCTGGCAACCTGGGGATCAGTCTTGACTCTTTCATCTGTAAAAGTCACTCATAAGCCTTCCTATTTTACTTTCTTTCCCACATCCTGCATTTCTGCCCTGCCTGGCTAACGTTTATTCTGAAAGATTCAGCTGTCACTTCTCAGAGGTTCATTTTCAACGAGGACCCCTCCCTGTGATTTAGATACTCTTCTTCTGTGTCCCCAAGTCCTTGTGCCTCTCGCTCTAATGACACACTTAGCATAGAATATTTAACATTCTGTTTATGAGTTTGTCTCACCCACTAAGCTGTAAGGTCGTTGAAAGCAAACACTGTCCTACTCACTTTCCATCCCTAATGTCTCAGAGGGTGCCTGGAGTATCGAAGGTGTGCACTGTACATTTGCTGAGTGAATGACTATGACACTGAGGAACTCCACTTTGAAAAAGAGTTATGTCTCCTAGAAAATGTTTGTGGATACAACTTTGGATTTGCTAACATTCCTTTTTCTTTCTTTTTGTTAGATTAATGTGACTGTGTCAGGTGGATTGACAGCCGTCTCACGGGCCCCTTTGTCAGGGGGTGCTGAGAGTGGGAGGCATGGAGGAGAGGAAGAATGAGACAACGAATCAAGCTCATGTCCTCTTTGACCGGTTTGTGCAGGCCACCACCTGCAAGGGAACCCTCAAGGCCTTCCAAGAGCTCTGTGACCACCTGGAACTGAAGCCTAAGGACTACCGCTCCTTTTATCACAAGCTCAAGTCCAAGCTTAACTACTGGAAAGCCAAAGCCCTCTGGGCAAAGTTGGACAAACGGGGCAGCCACAAAGACTACAAAAAGGGGAAAGCATGCACTAACACCAAGGTAAGGATTTGGCTACCCTCAGGCCCTGGGATCACTGACCTAAGATTTAACCAGAAAAGAAAAGATTTTGAGTAGAGGTAGGCCAAAGGAAAAGATTGAGTACAGGTAGACTGGGTGAGAACTAGGCAGAGTCTAGCCACGAACTTGTATAGGAAGTCAAGCTTATACCTTGTTGAAACTTTGTGGATCCACTAGCTATGTTCATTTGACTGTTCTGTGTACCAGACCCTATTCTTATTTCGTGTATTCACATATTGAACATTCAGGGTTTGAACTATTTAAGAGCAATCCTGAAGTCAAGTGGGGTAGGAATTTCTTATTTTGTAAGGCTCTATTTTGAATCTCATGCTGCTAGGAGGATGCAGGTCACTTAGCCAAAGAAGTAGCCAAGCCCTATTAGCATCCTATCTGAACATGGCTTCATGGTACTCGGCATGTCATCTTTACAAAGTCATCATTCCATACTCAGTAACTAGTAAGGTATAGATAGTATTTGCCAACTGAGGATTTGCCACAGCCTTCAGATCTCTTTTCATCCATATTCCAAAGGTCTGTTTTGATAAGCAGAGGCCTTATGAACCAAAGTATTTCTTTTGCTTTCTTCACAATCTAGAGAACTAGTTTCCATGAAACAGGTAGACCTGGGCAAAGACCTGAGATGTTCAGTTGTATGTGCAGGGGTAGGTGTGAGGAAGTGGAGAAGGAACAATACATTTCCTGCTTTCCTCCTTATGTAAGAACACCTTCTGTCAGAAGTTTGGAAAAAGCTAGCAGGGGAATGAAGTTGCAAATGACCTCATGACTATGTCATTGACGTTCTTTCATGAGCTTTAACTTGCCCTGTGTGGATACCTAGGGACCTACGTCTGGTGGATTTGCATTTGGGTAGATATTCATCAGCAAAATTCAAGAAAGTTAAAGGCATGACTTTTGTGAGTGAGTTCTGGAGTATTATTAAGAATAAAAGGAATTCAAGGCAAAAGCTTTGCGTCTTTCTTTTCTTCTGCACATGCCATGCCAACTAGTTAAGATAAGTGTCCAGCGTCACCCTGAGTACTTCTCTAGAATATGGACCTTCAAGACCATTTCCCTGGACTTTCAGTCTAAAGATGGTAATTTAGAACTCTTTTCAGCACATAGAACTTTGGCTCTTGAAAGTTGCCTCCTGGGAATCATTGAGTGGTAGACCCATTGCAGGACTCTGATTGCCTGAACTATGTATTTAATAATCTGTGTCTTTCCTTGGACAGAAATCTACTTGACTTAGAGACCTTCCAAATTGTCTTCTCCTATTGATGAAAGATGGGATGTGATTTTCAAATCGTTTGCTGAGATATGTTGCAGGCCTACATGGCAGACATGTGCTGGGATTACGTCCAGCACTGATGATGAAGAGTCTTCTCTGTCCATAGCAATCACCAGCTTTTCTCTCAAGCATTGCACATGTTCTCCTATGACCCAGAAGGGTTTGAAGGTTTCATGGTAGTGGGGAGAACAGCCCTATTTGGGGGCTTTAAGGAATGATAGTTATGAGATCATGAAATTTTATAGAAATGTGATCTTTCTCAAGAGGTGCTGCCTATGCCCTGAAAGCAGCTGTGTTTTTCAGTGTCTCATCATTGGAGCTGGCCCCTGTGGTCTCCGCACAGCCATTGACTTATCCTTGTTGGGAGCTAAGGTGGTCGTTATTGAGAAACGAGATGCCTTCTCCCGCAACAATGTCTTGCATCTCTGGCCATTCACCATACATGATCTGCGAAGTCTGGGTGCCAAGAAGTTCTATGGCAAGTTCTGTGCTGGAGCCATCGACCATATCAGTAAGTAAAGCCAGTTCTGTAAGATCCCACCCCTACCCCCTACCCACTAGTTCAGTAGAAGGAGACAAGCAGATTATCTGTGGAACTCATAGTCAACAGCCCAATTTGTTCTGATATCATTAGTATTTATTGTATAGAAAACATACTCTGCTTGGAGTCAAAATATCTGCCATGCATTGGTTCTGCAACTTAGCACTCTTAACTACAAGGGTATCTCCTATGACATGAGTTTAGCTTAAGGATTTCTCAGTTAAGTCTTGAACTCTTAATGAGCACTTGCAGTGGTGGGACAGGCCTTGGGGCCAGGCTAAGAAACAGAGGACCAGTTTGGGTCTTGAACCCTCTGGTGGTTCATAGTCCAGTGGAAGAAGCACAAGTCATGTGGCTCTCTATAGTGTGATAGGATAAATGCTCTACTAATGTAAGAAGAAATGCTGTGGGGACAGTCCTGGGGAAACGACAGTTGTAGAAGAAGCAGACTCCTAGTTTGGTCGTGAATGGCAAGTCAATAATGGGATTGCTTTGATTAGGTGATTCTCAGGAGGTCTACAGCCTGGATAGCTCTGGCTACACCCTTGTCATCTGTAAGCTCAGCTTGGGCCTATGCTTCTCTGAGATCCTGTAGAGTAAATAGAAGTTAGTGCAGCCAGTGGTTGTTTTCATGACTGTTAAGTGACCTATCTGAAAAGCGATTCAGAAGAGACAGTATCTACATTATGAAGTTGAAGTCTTGTTTATTGATCATCATTAATGATTCCAGAGAAGGTTATCAAGGAAACTTTTGTTCTGAGCTCCTCCAGATGTGTCCTGTAGATACATTCAACAACTGAAGCTTTTGCTGTTTGAAGCAGTTGTGCCAATTTATCACACACTGGCCAACAGCTGCCACATTCCACTGGCAGAGGAAGCATTCTGCCCATCTGTCAGGCTGTAATGTGTAAAGCATCTTGCAACTCTGTTGTCTGCAAATAGAAAATGTGTGCTACCATGGAATTTAATGAGTCTGTGGGAGTGTGACTCAGAGGGTGGTGGTTGCGGTAAGCTAGGGAAAATGACTGAGATGACTTACAGGAGGATTGGCATGTACTCCAAGCAGATTAGTCACAGGCTGCAGCTAAGATTGGTCTTAAGCGAGGACCAAGGGTCATTAATTCAGTGGATTTGTAGGGCAGGGTTTGTCTCGGAGCTGAGAGGGTCCTACATCAGGGGCAGATTTTTATCTCAGTATACCTGGGGCTGCTGCTCAGTATACCAGTGCCATTTCTGGCACCTGGTAGGTACTCACTGGACATCGAATAAATAAATACGTCTCACTATGATAATGAGCAAGATTTTCAATCATTTTGAGCCTTGGTTTCTGCAGCTGTAGACCAGTGGTGGGAAGGGGAATGGTAAGAGATTAAGGTTGGATTGAGGTGTCCCCTTCTAACCTTATGAGTGTGTGTAAAAATCAGTGAGGTAATAGGATGAAAGAGAGATGCTGTGGGAATCTCAGGAAGTAGTATAGCCCCTTTGTGTCAAACAAGAAAGCACACCCATGGGTGCGCATCTTCTGCCGTCTATAGTAAGTACCATGTCCTATCAGGATTGTAGATTCTGCTAAATAATTGTGGCTCTGACTGAATCGGGGGGGATGGAAAGGAGAGTCTCCTGTTGGCCACAGTCTCATATTGTCTCAGAGCTTTCAGTTGCTGTGAACATCTAGAGGTGGGGTGGCCTTGTGTGTCTCCAGAACATCTCTTGTGCTGAGTCATATTTGCCCTTAAAAAAAGAAAGAGAGAAGCTATGGAGCACGGCTTGGAAAATGTCTCCTGCTACAGGAGGCTTTGAGAATCTGAATAAACTGCATAGGTGGACAGGTGGGAACCTGAGCAGTGACTGCTGACGAGTACTCTCTTTTCAGTGTGCCCTGACTTGTGTGATCTTGTTGTTTACCCAGGTATCCGTCAGCTTCAACTAATACTTTTGAAAGTAGCCTTGATCCTAGGCATTGAAATCCATGTCAATGTGGAATTCCAAGGACTTGTACAGCCTCCTGAGGACCAAGAAAATGAACGTGAGTTGGATTGGACAGATGAAGGAGGGATAAAAGGGCATTGAATTGGTGAGAAAAGATGAGATCAAAGGAGAAAACTGTAGGAATTTGCAGGTTGTTTTCAGAACTAGTTCAAGGAGCTCCTCCATTTGTACAGCCTGTATCTTCTGAGGAACTTTTGGCTTAATGAGGAGGCCTTTGACATGGTATTAGACATGGCAGCACTGCAGCGCCGGCAGTATTCTTTATGGACAGTAGTATGTGGGAACCTTGCTTTGTGGGCCTCTTCCAGGCTTCCTTCTTTCTGTGGGTTTGTACCCCGCGCTGTCACACCTAGTGTTTCTGGCTTGGGATTGTGTGCAGTCTGCCTACCAGGATATCTAGAGATGTCTTACTGGTATGAATAAGGTCTGGGTAATGACCTGCATTTTGGCTTTGGTCTACAGGGATAGGTTGGCGGGCACTGGTGCACCCCAAAACTCATCCTGTATCAGAATACGAATTTGAAGTGATCATCGGAGGGGATGGCCGTAGGAACACCTTGGAAGGTATTGGTCAATGCTCCTTTGCCTGGTTCATAGCAGAGTGAAGGGTGACTCTCTTCCAACCCTGGCGTGTGAGTTTGTGTCATCAGAGTCCACACTCCTAAGAATCTGCATATCTGTGCTACCTATTCTAATTGAAGGACAGGCCCCAGCCTTCCCTTAGCCAGCTGGTTCTTGGGTCACTTCTTATAGGGCAGTCTTGTTAGGGTACTAGGAGGCAAGCTGTACTTTGAGCTGTTGGCACTGCAGGATTAAATCTAAGTTTAATAAGCAGGTGGCTTCCCTTTTTTTTTTTTAATGGAATCCCTAGTACTGAGTAATATTCTGGTCAGATTTCAAATTGTTTATTAGTGTGTGGGAGACCTGGACTTCTTTGCTGGATTGTTACATTCTTTGGTAGGTAAACACCTTATTTTCAGATAGAGAAGAGCTGCCCCCAGATTCTCCCATTGATTCCCACTCCCCACATTCCCTAATGCCTTCATCAACACCGCTCCTGTTTGAAATGATCTTCCTTCTTCCCTAGCCAGCTATTACTACCTCTGAAAATTTCTTTCCTTCCAGGATTTCGTCGGAAAGAATTTCGTGGCAAACTGGCCATTGCCATTACAGCAAATTTTATTAACAGAAATACAACAGCAGAAGCCAAAGTGGAAGAGATCAGTGGTGTGGCTTTTATTTTCAACCAAAAATTTTTCCAGGAACTGAGGGAAGCCACAGGTTGGTATAGATGCCTCCAAAGCAATAAGGATAGAAATTTAAATAACCACTTGTGATTGTTCTCTGGAGAGTTTGGTGGGTGGGTGGTCATTGGGGTTATTGTTGTGTTGTTTGCACTGTGTTCCTCTTCACTCCCATACTTTGTTCTTAGCATAATGCCTTCCATATCACTTATCTCCTACTCCAGGGCTCTTCATCCTCATCACTGTGCCTGGGCTGCTCTGGGTTTGGTTTTTACTTACCTGTTTAAGTGTTTTTTTTTGCCTTCTACCAACTCTTCTCCGACCCCTTCCCATGTGCCATGGCTCTCAGTGATGGTGCTTGGTGACGGAAGTGGTTGGTTGGGAGTTCTCTGGTTTGTTGAGAACCTAGCTTTAGGCATTGAGTATGTAGTCTTCTTTCCGAGTTCCAGTTTGGTCTTGAAGTAAGCCACGTGCTAGATAGGAATGAGATTGTTGTATGATAGCTTTTGAATAGATTAACTTAGATATTTTGCTGTACAAAAATGTACAGTACATTCTCTGTTTTCTAGAACATGATTTCTTTCCATTACCTCTGTGTTTTTAGATTAATTGAATTAAAAAGTCAGTAGTGCACTCCCTGTTTCCAGGCATTTAGTTGTCTGTCCTGTCCTTAAGAGTCTATGAGATTCCCCCAGTTGCCTTGATGACTGTCAAAGAGGTTTAACCTGAGAACTAACCCAAACGCTCTTACTAGAGGTTAACTTTTCTTTTTCTTCCCATCCTTATATTTCTGCTTGCTATTGATCATTGTCTTTAGGATAACTTAGGGTGTCCAGTGAATTAGAGAGCAGTGTGAGGGTAAACACAGCTCCCTTCTTGTCATGAACGGGATGTGCAGGCAATGAGAGTCTGGACTCAGGCATCTTTTTTGTTTTCTCTTTTCCTCTCTGGAGTTTTACAGCCCTGGTCTCGGTGGACCCATGGACAATCTTTATGCTACCCTAATGTATCTTCATCTCAGCAAACCCGTGTTTGCATGCATTTGTTCTCTGGTTGCAGGTATCGATTTGGAGAACATCGTCTACTACAAAGATGACACGCACTATTTTGTTATGACAGCCAAAAAGCAGAGTTTACTGGACAAAGGGGTGATACTGCATGTGAGTGATGGGTTTTATGTTGTACGGGTTAATGTGATCACCAAGAGAAAGAATTTTATTGTCTGATGAGTTTTCTGCAAGGAAATGGAAATAAGTACCTAACTCACTCCTGGGAACATGTACTCCTCTGATGTTTTTTACGTTAGCTTTTAAAAAATCTTTTATCATGGAAATTTTCACATGTAAACAAAAGTAGAGAGAATTGTCTAATGAACCCCATGTGCCCATTATCTAGCTTTGACAGTTATCAGCACATGGCTAGTATTGTTTCAGTGGTGCCCCAGCCCACTTCTCACTCCCGCCATTGGATTCTTCCGAAGCAAATCTAAGATATCATTTCCTGCATAAATATTCAGTTTAATTTTAGGTGATTTGGTTTGTGGTTATAGTGAACTCTATATACGACCAATTATTGGTTAGTATTTACTAGGTTGTCTTTTGGGAAGAGGTGATAGAGGGAAGGGAGTTTTATCCAGAGGCAATAACTCGTGTTTATGGGCTCCTGAGAATGGTTCTGGATTTACTGCAGATATGGCTCTCAGAGGTCCAGGGAACACTGACTGGATAGGGCATATTTAGGCCTCTTTATGACCTAACAATAAGGGCTTATTGTCCATCCTGAGCCAGGTCCAGCTGAGCATTTTTACCAGGTGACTCATTGTGTGATGTTCCCAGAGATGATGATCTGAATATGAAATCAGAGAACCACAGGGTGGATGGTTCCTTGAGGAGAGTTTCTTTAAGTCTTTTTTGGTCTCCTTGGTCTGAATGTGAGAATTACTGTCCCTGTGTGATGAGATGGCTGGAAGAGGCACCAGATGTGCTGATTCAAGCTTGTACAGTTCTTACCACAGACTCACAGCTAGAGTTCAGGGTGTCCTTGATCTTTGCAGGATGATAATGAATCACATCACTTCAGTCTGAATTACACGGTTCTATCTAAGAGCAGTGTTGGGGTGAGCTGATGAGCACGTGCCTGTAGCACAGTCTCCTTCCCACCCGTGAACCCTGTGTCTGTTTCTTGGCATAGTGGTCCTTTATGTATCAGGAGAAACAAAGCAGTCTGTACAGCCCATTCTGCCAAGAGCACCAGCCAGGTGTATTTGCTTGGATGCTTTATCACTGAGAAATAGCCAAGGAGCCCGTCGGTAGCCTTGGGACTAAGTTAGGACTTGAATCTATCATTTTAGGCAGAACTCTGGTTATCAGTTGAAATTATGTAAGAGCAATCTAGAGTGCCAAGACCTGATTTACTTTTCCTTTTTATTGATATTTTTAGAGGGCAGGGACCATGCCTTCTGTGTGTACTGCTAAATACTAAACCCCTTGTGGCCACTTGTTCAACGTTGAACAAACACTGTTTCCAGGACCAACTCGAGTGTTTGTGTTTTGGCTTTTAACATCTTGTAGTGGTGGCTGAAAGTGTCATTGGGGCACTTGGAAACCTGAGGCCCTACTTTGGGAGAGTAGACTTGGCTCAGTGGCCAGGAACCTCCAAACAGAAAAGTTGTCGTCCAGTCCTTATGTGGAAAGCCCTTTTCTCTCATGAGTTTTTCTTAGCTGGTGGGTTTCTGTGGAGCCTTTCAGAATCTTATGTGTGATTCTGAAAACCTTTCTTCCATCTTCAGTATATTTCTTCCCAGCCGCTGGACTGCTATTGCTCCTCCCTCCACATCTTTTTGGCACTGAAGCTTTTGGGTTCTTCGTTTGCGTTTGATGAGTTATGCAAAGTTGAGTGCGTCATGTGGTCCCGGTTGCCAAAAGCTATTTGCTACCCAGAAGATAATGATTGCTGATAATAATATAAACTGCAAAATGCTTTTTCAGTTTACAAAGTACCATCACATAAATAGTTTTATTTGGTATTCAGAACAGCTCCATGAGGGGGTTGGGCAGGGTCACAATAGTGACTTGCTCCAAGTAGCTGGGAAAGCCAGGGCTGTGTTTTTAGGCAGCAAAGCCTATGCTTTAGAAACAGCCTTGCTCCTTTTCTTTCTGCTTCTTTTTTTTTTAATTTTATTTATTTGTTTTCTTCCCCAAAGCCCCAGTAGATAGTTGTATGTCATAGCTGCACATCCTTCTAGTTGCTGTACGTGGGACGCGGCCTCAGCATGGCCGGAGAAGTGGTGCGTCGGTGCGCGCCCAGCATCTGAACCTGGGCCGCCAGTAGCGGAGCATGCGCACTTAACCGCTAAGCCACGGGGCCGGCCCCTACTCCTTTTCTTTTTAATTTGTGTAAAAGACTTATTTGGGATATGAAGTCACTTTAGGGAGAAGGGAAAGGCTGTGGAACTAGGTTCTGTTTGACGCATGTAGTATGGCTCTGGCTGGCCGGGCTGGGACGTCCTTGCCTAGGCTTTGCCATGGAGCCTTTTCTCTCTCTGGAGACAGGACTACGCCGACACAGAGCTCTTGCTTTCCCGGGAGAATGTCGACCAAGAGGCTCTGCTGAGCTATGCCAGGGAGGCAGCGGACTTCTCCACCCAGCAGCAGCTGCCGTCTCTGGATTTTGCCATCAATCACTATGGGCAGCCCGACGTGGCCATGTTTGACTTCACTTGTATGTACGCCTCCGAGAACGCTGCCTTGGTGCGCGAGCAGAATGGACACCAATTATTAGTGGCTCTGGTTGGGGACAGCCTCCTAGAGGTGAGTATTAAGGATGTCAGCACCTTAGAGCAGAGGCGATAATAATTAGGAACCAATCTGGGTGTCCCAGCTTGTGGAGTGAGTCTCTGCAGCGTTGCGTAGCGCAGTGGGCTCCCTGCAGGAGTTACACCAGGAAGTAGGGGATGACTGCAGGCCATGGGAAACCCAGGGTGTATGGAAATTCTGCAACTTTTGTGACTTGCCCCTCTGCCAGTTTGTGAAGTAGAAAAGTCCAGCATCTGAACAGTTGCCAAAAACTATTCTCAAAGGTTATTTGTTTTACTTCTTTGTTTTTTGTCTCCTTCATAGCCTTTTTGGCCAATGGGAACAGGAATAGCTCGGGGCTTTCTAGCTGCTATGGACTCTGCCTGGATGGTACGAAGTTGGTCTCTAGGAACAAGCCCCTTGGAAGTCCTAGCAGAGAGGTAATGGAAACTAGCAGGGGGCCCTCTGTGAGAAACCTGGGAGTGACAGGTGGTTGGCTCTTCAGGCAGAGTACACATTCTTTCTTCCTTCTCTCTCTCCCTTTCTTTTTTTTTTTTTTTTTTTATAATTTTATTTATTTATTTTTTCCCCCAAAGCCCCAGTAGATAGTTGTATGTCATAGCTGCACATCCTTCTAGTTGCTGTATGTGGGACGCGGCCTCAGCATGGCCGGAGAAGCGGTGTGTCGGTGTGCGCCCGGGATCCGAACCCGGGCCGCCAGCAGCGAAGCGCACGCACTTAACCGCTAAGCCACGGGGCCGGCCCTCTCCCTTTCTTTTTGTTTTTTTTTTGTTTTTTTTTTTTTAATTTATTTTATTTTTCTCCCCAAAGCCCCAGTGGATAGTTGTGTGTCGTAGCTGCACATCCTTCTAGTTGCTGTATGTGGGACTCGGCCTCAGGATGAACGGAGAAGCGGTGCCTCGATGTGCACCCGGGATCCGAACCCGGGCCGCCAGCATCGCAGCGCGTGCACTTAACCACCAAGCCACAGGGCCGGCCCACCCTCTCCCTTTCTTAATTGAAGATGTTTTCATATTTAAGAAAGGAAAGGCAAGATATTTATTCATAAAATCGTAGAAAGTTAAAGATCACCTAATCTAGGTGCTCTTCTCTTATCCCTCTCCAAGTTAACCTTGTTACTGGCACACGGTAGCTGGATCTTTGTACCATTGAAGGACGGCATCTGATCCTCTGTGACAGTTACATGACCAAATACAGAAAATAGTACTTTACGTCCTCTGTCTGTAAACTAGAAACACGTACACGGAGGGAATCAGTGTGGTGGGGGGACTTACTGATATCAGAGAGGAAATTAAACGAGACTGAATTCAAAGGAAAACACCAAACTGCTTGTAATGTTTCTCAAACTCCCAAATGTCAGATAGTTTGAAGCCGAATATTGCAAATGAGGTAAGACTTATAGGATTTGCTTGCTGATAAGGAACAAATGCCTTAACCAGAAGAATTAGAGAAGTAAGATTTCCTGGATGAAATTGATGGTTGGTGTCATTTTAAGTCTGTTACTTAAGGTACTCTGGGTAAATTTGGTGGCAAGTTCTTTTTTCATCTGTGATTTTCTTAAAAATTAAATATTGGCATACTTGAAAAAACAAAACAGAAATTCATTGCTCTTTAAAGTAGAATCTGGCTTTTTATCGCTGCCCCCAGCAGTGTATTTGCTCTTCTCAGCTCTGAACCAGTCCAGTGCCTGTGGGATACAGGGCTGATGTAAGGTTGGAGGAGCCCAGTCAAGGATGAGGATCTGTTGTATCCCTCAGATGATTGGGGACTGTAAACAGTGGCAGTGTTGTCAGAGGGAGGAGCTGTCTGTGGTGCTCATCGCTCTGAGTGTGTTGTGTGTTGTTGCAGGGAAAGCGTTTATAGGCTGCTGCCCCAGACCACCCCTGAGAATGTGAGTAAAAACTTCAGCCAATACAGCATAGACCCTGTCACCAGATATCCCAATATTAATGTCAACTTTCTCCGGCCAAGCCAGGTAAGAACCTTCTACTCACTCATCTACATCTGGGCCCATTTTCAGGACTGGCCAGACCTCTGAAGTATTGAAATGTGTCTATTAATACGAAACATGTTCACAACACTTCCTTCATAATCCAAGTAGATGCTTTCTGAATTGCCTAAAGTAGATGTTATTTTCCATCAGCGGAATGAGCAGCTAAGGCAGACAGTTATTGAATGACTTGCCAGAAGATCAAACGTGACGGAGATGATGGATTCCAGACTTTATCGCAGGCCTCCTAATTCAGATTGCAGGTTGTAGGGGAAACAGCACTTGTTCACTGGTCAGGAACTATGACTTCTGCTGGCATTATCCCACCACTCACTTGTGACTTGGACAGGTCGTTTCACTTTCTCTGAACTGCAGTGTCTTCATCTCTAAGTGGAGATGATAATTCCTGCTACTCACGGGATGATCGTGAGGGCAAATGAGATTGTTCACTTGAAAGAAAATTTGAAAGGTCAGACACTCTCTACAAGTGGAAGACATCATTGGTCCATTTTTTGTATTACTGAACTGTTTCTCAGAATGTCTGAAGCCTTATTAGTACACTGAGAATGACATTCTATAAATCCCAAAGAGCCCAACAATTTTCAGAAAGCAGCTCATTCGACTTATTTGCCTGTGTTCTAGTGTAATTTGTTGTTCACTTTCTACCTGAAGTTTACACCTTAAGGCCTCTGTATTTGTGTGTGGTCCATACGGCATCCGTGAAACCTGCTGTTAATGGGCAGCATTGATGATCCAACAGAGACTATCAGAGGGACTCCCTGGCTGAGTAGCTAATTTTTAGCACAACTTCTTACAGTTAAAATGTATTTGTTTATATGTAGCCCCACTGCATTCCAGAAAGGATTTAAAGGTCATCATCATCACTTCTTTTTAAACTGCCCAACCTGCTATCCCAGTCTTTCCTCTCAGTCATTCTGCTGTCAGGTGGGAATTTGTTACTTGGTATTTGATTTTCCTTCTTTGGGACTTTTTGTCTTTCTGCCAGGTACGCCATTTGTATGATACCGGAGAAACAAAAGTTATTCATCTGGAAATGGAGAACCTGGTGAATTCCCGAACTACCCCGAAGTTGACTCGCAATGGTGAGTTCTGATAATGGCCTTTTGAAATACAGGTACCCTGTTCCGAGAACTCTGTACTTACTCGTCAGTGTGCACAGTACTGTGTAAGGCAGTGGTTCTCAACCAGAAGTGATTTTGCCTCCCAGGGGACATTTGGTGGTGTCTGGAGACATTTTTGATTGTCATCATGGGAGTTGGCTACTGGCATCCAGGGATGCTGCCAAACCTCCTGTATGCACAAGTCAGCTCCCACAACAAAGAATTATCCAGCCAAAAATAGCGGGAACGTGGAGGTTGAGAAATCTCGGTCTAAGATGTAATGTGGGTATAGAGAGAAATCAGATACAGAGCTCTTGAGAGAGAGAGGGAGAATGAGCACACACAACACCAACTAAGGTTTTGGGGGAAGGCTTTATGGAAGAAGCAGTGGCATTTTAGCTGAGTACTACAACATTGCTGGGATACAGTGATGGAAATAAAGGCCATTCCATATTTTGTGTTCATTAAATGGCCCCTGAAGATTTTTTTAAAAGGAGAGTGACGTGAGTATACCTGGTCAGCTACATGTAAGATAGTATGGAGAAGGGGAATGCCAAAGGCAGTGGGACTAGTTAGAAATATGTTACAATAGTCAAGCTAAAAGTGGTAAAGCCTGGATCTGGTACTGATGCTGAGGATGGAGAAGGGAGAAGGCACTGGTGCATAGATGAACTCTGACTTTGGGGCCAGGTGCAGCTGGGTCCCAGTCAAAGCTTTGCCATTTGTGAAGTGTGTGGGCTTGAACAGGTTATTTAGCATCTCTGAACTTCGGTTTCCTTGTCAATGAAATGGGGGTAACAAATACTCACCTCACATTATGGTCATAAGGATTCTGTAACAGGTAGAGAGCTTTACTGCAATGCCTGGCATATAGTGGGTGGTCAAAAATGGCAGCCATTTTGTCATTGCCATTATTAATTATGAGAGAGAGAGAATATTAAGGAGCCAGAATCAATAGGCAGTGGCAGTTTGGTTGTACTGTGCGTCAGAAGATCAGTTGTGAACCGTGCTGCCATCAGTCTGAACAAGGAAATGGGAGGGTAAGAAAGTTTGAGTTCTGTTGTGGGCATTTTGAGTTTGGCATGCTATTGGGATATCAAGATGGATATGATGACCAACAGGCAGTTGGAAACATTTTCGTCTTTCTCCACTGGGATGTCTTCTTGAAAGCAGAGAATATATCTTTGTTCACTATTATCTTAGAGCTTGGAATATTGAAGTTGCCCAATACATATTGCATCAATGAATATATAGACTTAGAGACATCTGAATCAAGTTAATTTCTGAAGCCAAGAGATTTACATTGTTGACACCAGAAGTGGTTCTCTGTGTAGTTTCAGTATGCATTTTCACTGAAAGACTTAAATGAAACAGGATTTTTATGATATGCAGTTCTTATCTTATGTTCACAAATCACTAAATGACTTAGTACAAGGTTAAATATATTCAGCTGCCTAAGGTAAGGGAACAGACTTTCTTGGTCACAATATGAGTTCACAGATTCTTCTGAATGCTCCATATCAGAGCTCTTCTGATGCCATTAAGAAAAACGGATTTGCATAAAGGCTCTTCATGTTTTAGAAGACATATGAATGAACTGGAAAACATCCAAGTGTATGTGCTTACATATTCAGTTTTTCAAGTTGTGATCATTTATAATACGGAGTGCCAAGCCTGGCCTGAGATATTTATCTGGTCTGGGGTCCTTGGCCTGGCCAGTGTAATTGTATAGAGCTTCTTCACTTGGCACATTGCTTGGTACCTTAGAAAGGGTGGAACCTTTTCTACTCTAATCCTCCTAATGTTACTTTCAAGGGAAGGAGCTTCCCCAGAAGCTTCTCCAGGGGAATCTTAGGACCACTGCAGGTGGGGATGACAGCCTCAGTAGATGGCACGCTCCCATCTCAATCAGTGTCCAGAGCGCTGCAGGGACACTGGGCTTCAGCAGGAGCAGGTCCAGATCACCCAGTTGTGACTTACCCATCTGTCAGGGGGATGGACGTGACCTTGGAGTCTGGGTAAATTGGTAGTTTTTTGTCTACCTAAAATTCCACTATCAGGATACCAGTTACGTAGCCTCTTACTTTTGAAAACCAGTGATGACTATTTTATCCCTACCTTCAGTAATTTTTTAAACTGGATGTGTATACTACAAAGAGGATCCTCAATGCTACTCAGTGACCACACTTCCAACAATACTTTTTTTGTTTTAGAGTCCGTAGCTCGTTCAAGCAAACTGCTGGGTTGGTGCCAAAGGCAGACAGATGGCTACCCAGGGGTAAATGTGACAGATCTCACCATGTCTTGGAAAAGTGGCCTGGCCCTGTGTGCGATTATCCATAGATACCGCCCCGATCTGATGTAAGTTGTGACCAGACTTTGTGTTTCGTTGTATATTCCTGAAGGATCTCAGAGTACTCTGCTATCAAGTAGCCAAATTTTGTACTTTTTCCTAGAATGAGATACATAGTAAGATGCTTTCTCTAGAAGGCAGTCATTAATTTTGTTTTAGTTCTGTTTCAAACTCTTGATGTCAAGCATGATGTAGTTCAGCCCAGGAATGACTAGCTGAGTTTCTAAAACCACAGCACTCAGAACGTCAGAGGGGCTGGCCCCGTGGCGTAGCGGTTAAGTGCGCATGTTCTGCTACTAGTGGCCCGGGTTCAGATCCAGGTGTGCACCGATGCACCGCTTGTCCGGCCATGCTGAGGCGGTGTCCCACATACAGCAACTAGAGGGATGTGCAACTATGACGTACAACTACCTACTGGGGCTTTGGGGAGAACAGGGGGAAAAAAGGAGGAGGATTGGCAGTAGATGTTAGCTCAGGGCTGGTCTTCCTCAGCAAAAAGAGGAGGATTGGCAATAGATGTTAGCTCAGGGCTCATCTTCCTCACAAAAAAAAAAAAAAAGGAACATCAGAAACTGGTTTTAACACCCACCTGGCCCTGTTAACTTCACACAAAGGAAAACACAGTTAATTGGCCCCAGGTTGAACTCTTCACTTCAGCCAGCTCTCAAAAATGCTGTTGGTCCTGAGGAAAAGCTGGCTGGAACATTTGGCTGGCTAAAGGCAAACATGTCACTACCAACAAAAAAGAAAACAGTGAATCCTCACCCGATTTCCAGTGGCTCACTGGAATTCTCTCTTTGGTAAAGGACTGCACTTTTTGCAAACATCCTCTGTCAAGCCCCCGAAACTCAGGTTACCTTACCCATCTACACCAGTAACATCTCTTCTGACCATTCTTTACTCACCTAAATGCAGAATCAGTACAGTACGGTGACCCCAGGTCAACTGTGGTGACCAGTGCACTCAGATTGCCCCCGTAGGCTTTTGTTACCGTGGGCGCCAAACAGGAAGATGCAGAAACAGAGGCAGAGTGTGTTGAATTATTTTGGCTGCCTATCCTTTTATCGTTAGGTCCACTTAAGGGCCCAATTTTATGTGTGTTTTTTGTTTTAATGGTTGCTTAAGGAATCCTCAAAGACACAGTTCCTGTTTATATTAGATTATAAGTTAATGAGGCAAGAGCTGGTAAAAACAGCTTTGCATAGTGTGGTTTAGGAATGGGAACTTCTGATTTGCTTGGATAAAGGTAAGTGACCTCTGGTGCTCCTGTTCCTTAGCTCGTGCAGAGGGTGGCAAAAGATAGGTGAAAGAAGGGCTTATCACCCCCACCAAAAAGATGTGGGGGTAGGGGAGCAGCAGCTTGAGAAAGATTGTGATCAACAGGCACGGAAGTGCTCTAGAGGAAGGGCCAGGTGAATCAGTTCTATTCCAAAGGGAAGGCGAGGGGGGGGCGGGGTGAGTGTGAGGTGAGGGGACACATTCCTGGTAGATCCCACCAAAGGCTGCCTGGAGAAGGTCTAGGGGATTTTCTTGTAACAGAACACAAAGCAGTGAGTAGGTAACGTGGCACTGTTTAGACTACAATGACTTCACTCAGGATGAGGCCTCCATGGTTTAATAGGCTTAATAATCTACAGAGAAAAGGAATTTAAAAAAATGAAAAACTGCTGTGAGTCAGTAGGTTAACACAAAATAAGGCCTGCCCGGTTAATCTGAAATCACCTAGAGAAGAATGCTATCAGTCTTGACTGAGTAGCAAGAAGCTTGAAACCCACTGGGAAATGTTTATTAATCTGAGTACTTGGGAAAACTCAGGAAATTTAGCAATGGAAAAATCTTTTGAAGAAGTTTTTGGAATTTCCCTTCAAGTAGAAGTCTGAGTAAGATTTATCAGAGCTGATTCAGGGCATCAACAGCTTGTCAGGTCCAAAGGACACAGTGTGTGATGGGCCCAGGCCTTAGAAGCGGTCTGATCCAAGTAGGATTTTTATCATTATTGAACATTAGTTTCATGCGTGCAGTCACACACAGGTGCGAGAGAATACATGTTAAAGGTAGTTTCTGTTCTTGAGCTTACATTTTAGTAAGCAGTTTATCCTATTGGAGAAATGAGGGTAGTTTTTCAGCTTTTCTTGTTTTTCCTTTATGGGTAGATCTTTAATCTTTCTTCTCCTTGAGGATGGTTTGTATTTCTGTAGTAAAAGGAAGGAGACTAAGAGAGGAGGTAAACAGGTGTGCTCTCAGATCTCAGTGAGGCACTGCACCCTGGATTGTAGCTGAAAGACCAATGATGATGACTCTATGATGTTGTGTCTTCTGGTGTGGGGACAAGCAAGTCATCTTAACATGTTTTCCTTGTCCTGTTTCTCAGAGATTTTGATTCTTTGGATGAGCAAAATGTGGAGAAGAATAACCAACTGGCCTTTGATATTGCTGAGAAGGAACTGGGCATTTCTCCCATCATGACAGGCAAAGAAATGGCCTCGGTGGGAGAGCCCGACAAGCTGTCCATGGTGATGTACCTGACTCAGTTCTATGAGATGTTCAAGGACTCGCTCCCCTCCAGTGGTAAGGGCCGGCAGCACTGCTGCGCAAGTCCTCTGTTTCCTCTCCGCTGCCTGGATTTTCTTTCTCTCCTTTACCTGTGTCCTTCATCAGTACCGCCAAAAGCAAACCTGCACTTACCCTGTGATTTTGCTGGTCAGCTATCAAGATAAGTCCCTGGGACTTTGCCCTATTATTTTTCCCTTCTCTACTAGTGTTTTCTTAACCACTCATTCCTTCCCAAATCTTTCTCACTAAATCTATGAGTATGCAAAAATCATTCCTGTCCAAATTTTTTCCTTGACTATACCACTTTGTCATACCCTTTGTCTCAGAACCAGCCTTTTTGAAAAGCGGTTCATGCTGGTAGCTCTCCTTCCTTGCTGCCTAAACTTGGAAATACTTTGCAGCCCAGCTTCTGTGTTTACTGCTCTGCCAAAACTGTTCTCCACAGTCCTGAAGAATCACCAAATCCATGTCTTTTCTCGTTGCTCATCGCTCCTACACTTGACTTTTCTGCATTGTTCAGCACTGTGAAATGATGTCTTTTTTTTTTTTAAATTCTCCCTTCTTGGCTTCTGTGACCCTATTCTGTATACTTGCCTTATTCTCTTTCTTCTGTAACTGTTCCTTCTCTGATCTCTTTCTTCTCCTACCTTTTAGTGTTTTCCAAAAATCTTTTCTTGGCCCTCAGCCTGCTGCCTCAGTCTTTCAGAGTGCTACAAAAAAATATTCCTGTTTTCATTTATTGTCCCTTGGAGTAAGTATAGGATAATGCTTAAGAGTGTTGACCATGGTACCTGACCTGGGTCCCAGTGTGTCCACCTGTGCCACCTTAGGCAAGTTACTAAATTTCCCTGTGCCTCAGTTTCCCCATCTGTAAAATGGGGATTATATATACAATTAGATTGTGATTTGCTAAGAAGAATGGCAAATGGAAGCAATAAATGTTAGCAATATGTTTCAATTATTATTTTTAAAATTACTATTATCACTAATAAAACATTGGAACCCACAGAGTTTGTGGTTCTCTGGTATCTTCCAGCCCATACTCTGTAGATGTCTGTGGCTTTTTCTGATTAAATATGTAGTTATTACAGCAGAAGTCCACAGCTTTAATGTCGATAGACCCATTCAGGGAGAGCCCCCCTTGTGTGCAGCCAAGTGCATGGTGTCTGCGTACCACCAAAACCAGTGACCCTGAGCTACATACCCACCCTTCGTTCTCTCTCTGCCCTGAAATTTTTCTCCCAAAGGTGAGGCTTCAGCACTCTCCTGTAACTCACAATCATAGGCAGAATTCCAAATTTGAAAAGCAAAATTGGAGGTTTTTGTGACTGAAGTGAGTTGGGAAAAAGAGTTAGTTTTGTTTTTGTGGATGGAGAAGAGAAGGCTCAGCGTCCAGACCTAAGCGTGCATTTCCCTTGTGGAGTTTCCTGCTGCGTTCCTCGTGCCTCTGTCAGAGCTGATGGACCTGCAGAGCTCTCTGGGTTCTGGGAGCCCTCTGCCAGGAGGACAGTTCTGGTCAGGACTGTGAGGCCCATCCAGGGCTCTCCCCAACATTGCTTTCTGTTCACAGACGCCTTGGCCCTGAATGCTGAGGAGAAAGCAGTCCTGATAGCCAGCACCAAGTCCCCCATCTCCTTCCTAAGCAAACTTGGGCAGACCATCTCTCGGAAGCGTTCTCCCAAGGTAAATGTAAGAGGGTTTTTTTTACCAGCTGCAAACCTGATGACAAGGTATAGGGTCTAGGATAATGCAGTTTCCTTCCTCTCTTGGTGTAGGATAAAAAGGAAAAGGACTTGGATGGTGCTGGAAAGAGAAGAAAGACCAGTCAATCGGAAGAGGTGAGAATTATCTGGGGTTTGTAGAATAATTATACTGAATTGCTCTTTTTGGCTGAAATCTTTAATTTCCAAATTGGTATTGTTAGATCTTTTCATATTCATCTTTTATAAGAATTTTTGTGCACAGATGCTTTTTCTGTGGGCTTTTGTCTTTGTTTAAGTTTTTGGAGAGCATCCAAGCAAACATACACACAAGTGCACTGGGCTTTCCTGTCTCTTTGGAATCACACATTTGGCAAAGGACAGTGGCTTTCCTGGGTATGACAATACCAGTAAAGTGCGGCACCTCTTGAGACTGCCTTGCACACGGGAGTCTTGCTGACCCCATCTCAAGATTAGAACCTGGAAGAGAGCTGTGAAGCTCAACCTAAAGCAGAAATGCCACTGCTGTGTCGGACACTGGTGGCATTTCTTTGAGGGAAGGGCATTTGGGGGGCTCCTCTAACAGAAGCTGGTTCTTGGGTGGTCGATGTTCATCAGGAGGAAGCACCCGGGGGTCACCGAGGAGGAAGGCCCACCCTGGTGAGCACTCTGACAGACAGGAGGATGGACGTGGCCCTTGGCAACCAGAACAAAGTGAAGTACATGGCAACCCAGCTGCTGGCCAAATTTGAAGAGAATGCACCCCCACAATCCACTGGCGTGAGGAGACAGGTAAACCCCGTTCCACACCTCACCTATCCACACTTGGTCTGGCCGCATAGGAAGGAGGGATTTTTCCAGTCGAGTGAGACTGAGTATGTCACAGACCCAACCTCTCTTGCGGTCGAGACTGCTGTCTGATCTTGCCCTCGTCTCGCTATGGCAGAGAAGAGTGTTTCATAGGCTTTCAGGACTGCTTCATCCTCACCATTCAGGTCCGAGGTGTCTGTGACAAAAATCAGCAGAGGGATTTTAAAAACATACGTCTATTTCTCTGTACAGATGTACATGTTCACATACGTACATCCATGTTTAAATTATAAAAGAAGTTCATGCTAATTGAGGAAAATGCTGAAAAGTGTAATAACAGGTCATTAAGGCACCCATCATCCTGTTAATATTTCTTTCTTGTCTTTTTTTAGTGCATTCTCATTTTCATAGTCGAGGTCATTCTTCACGTACACTTTTCTATTCTGCTTTCTTCATGTAACTTTGAGCATAGTTCCATGTTCCAGCCTCTTTACAGGCGTCTTCCAAAATGTGTGTGCACCATGCTCTCTGAACTCTGCCTCTAGTGCTGGGTGTTAAGTTGTTTCTCTCTTCCGTGATAAAGTACAGGGGTCAACACTCTGGTGAAGAAGCTGCTTCTGTGTATTCCAGATGATTTTCCTGGGCTGTTCTCAAACCAGGTCGTGGGTATGAACGTGTTAAAGGCTCCTCATGAGTCCTAACTTGGTTCCCAGAAGTCGTGCCTGGGAGTGTAGACAGGAGCTCTGGACTTGCGATGTCTCTGTTAGGCCTCGTCTCTCCCCTGCTGTCTGACAGTCACTGAGACTTCTTAGAGGAGGACTGCCAGGATTTTGAGATTCACACTGAAGTCTCTTATCAAACTCCCTGGTGACCTGAGAGAGCGCCCGGAGGAGAGGGAGCTCATTCTCTTCATTCTTTGTCTTCTTCTCCATGCGCATCAGCCATTGTTCCTGTGCACCCAGGGGTCGGACTGACTGTGCTTGCAGTCTGGCTGTAATTAACTTCTTCTCACGTCTGCTAGTTGGCTATTGGTCTTTACACTTCAGTCATTTTGTGCCGTAGCTCACAGAAAGGATGACACTATTTGTTGGTAAACATTTAAGGTGGCCTGGCAGCTCTGATAGTCCCCCCCAGGTAGGCTGGCATGCTCTCCCTTAGAGGAAGTGTGCCCCTGAAAGAAGGTTGCTTTCCTTATTTTGAGTGGAAAGATTAGTTTTACAAACCAGAATTAGTAGTTTAGGTTCAGAGCATTGAACTGGGGGAAAGGATAATGAGAATTACAGCTTCTGTTTTCTTTTTTTTCTTTAGCATTTGTTTTTGGTTGGGGTAGGGTGTTTCATTTCCTTTATAGGTATAACTTTCTAAGAATTAATTCTGTCCCCCCCGCCCCCTGAATACTTTTTTTGTGCCTTCTCCTACCTTAATGTATTTTATTTTGTTTTGTCTCCATGTCCTGCCCCAACCCTTGGCCTATGTGTCACAGCCGACACAAGAGCGTGGGGTCAGCCAGCCGTCCTGCTGCCTACCTGAGCAGGGTCGCTCTGCTCCCACCCCCCAGTGGAAACAGGTAAAGGAACTGCCCAGGGGCCAGAATTGATGCTGCCTCCCTGGGCTTTCCCACCCCTCCTCCTTCTGAGCCAGCCAGGGTTGGGGCCTCCTCTTTAGAGTCCTAGTTCACAAGGGCAGAAGTCTCTGCTCGTTTGAGAAGTGACCCTGCAGAAAAGTTTAATAGACAGTACTGATTGTATTGCATGCTTTGTTTAATTCCTTGGGATTTGAGAAACCAGTTAAAATAGTGGGCTGTTAATTTGGTTTTGAAACGAGCTGAAGCTATGTGGTAAGTTGTTCAGGCACCTTAGCCTTGGGGGTTTTAGAACCTTTGTTCCAAGTTGACTTTTTGCTGACATCTGTCCTCATGACCATTGGAGGGAGAATCTTGAAATTGTCGAGCCTGAGAATTGGGGCAATGGAGCCTTTCATGTTAAATAGGAAAATGTTATCCAAGAAATAGTCTGGACCTATTATTTTTGTTTCAAACCCTGCACAGGGATGATCATGGGCATTTCCCTGGTGTTTTGTCTACATTTAAAATACTCTCTGGAAATTTTCACTGAAAAATTTGCAGGACCTCCTGGAAAGCTGTTTCTCCTAAGCAGTACAGAATAGGACAGAGAGAGAGGGGAATGGCCCCTGGTGGCTAACAGGAAATCCATCAGAGGGATTCGCGGCCTCCACAGTGCTTTCTCCCGTGTCACAGTTGAGCAGGTCCAGCCCCAGTGAGCATGCCTGGGCTCTCTGCCTCGTGCTTCGGAATCACGTAGGCTAAGACTGTGCGTGGTCCTGAGTGGACCCTCTGCTTCCTCTTGTGCTGTAGAGTGACAGCTATGGCTGGGAGACTCTGGGGAGTGGCAAGTTGGGTTTTATTTGAATTATATTCTGGGCAAAATGTTTCTTTCTAACCTTTCTTTTAATAACGTGCCTCGTTAAAGGCAGGGCCCGCGAGGCTGAGGTGGAAGCTCAGGAGCAGCGTCCACACTCGGCAGAAGCCGAGCCACCTCCTTCCCTGTGCTCGGGGCGGGGGGTCTTCTGAAACAGAGGAGAGCCTCAGGGATTCACTTCCATTTTATTTTCTTACCCTTTGCCTTGAAGTCTAGGTGGAAGGTATGATTTTGAAAGGTAATCTTTAGTTGAGGATCTGCTGAAGGGGAAAGTGAACTCGAAACTAGATTCCACAAACTCTAGATTCTCAGTGTTGCAATGGTTGCCTGAGGTAGGAGGAGCACAGGAGAAGGTGCATCAGGTGTAATACACGCGGACAGGTGAACAGCTGACTCTAAACGGCACGTGCCTGGAGCAGCTTGGGTGGGCTTGCTGGGAAGTCTTGGGGCAGGAAGTGTGACCCCAGGAGCCTGGTGCGGTGGAGGCCTCTGTCCTAGTGAAGATCGGCATGCCGGCTCACCACCTGATGGAGCTGTACTGAAGGGGTGTCAGGAGCCCGGTGTTTGTGCTGCGTTTCTCCTGTTGGCGAAGCATCTGGTAGCCTCTCGCCTTGTGTGGCTGCTGCCTGGAGACAGACAGCTAGCTCGTCCTCTGGGTGATTTGTGATCCCAGTCAGGGAAGTAGGGCACTGTGAGGCTGTGCAGGCAGCAGAGCAGAGCCATTCACGTCAAGCCTGGGCTTTGTGGGATGGGCACAGAGAGTGCAGGTGGAAAGAGGAGCTGGGTGGGTAGGTGAAAACCACAAGAAGTGAGCTTCCTGTGAGATCCTGTGTGCCTCGTGTTGTGTGGAGTTGGGAATTATAAATTTACTTGGCTGTGAAAGAACTGTAACTCACAGTTCTTATATCCACATGAAATGTATTATATTCACATCTAATTTTTTCTCAACACTAAATCAGGGATGGTACTCCAGTGGTGCACTGGGGCCCTCTGCTTCTGACTCGCCCTGACTGGTAGCCCCCAGCAGTGGGGCGGGGGCTGATGGGCAGCACCTTATAATAAGACGCACTTTGTGTTTCTCTTGAAGTGATTCAGATTGAGGCAGGAGGGTGTGGCAGGCACAGCAGTGATGGGTGAGTTGGCGCAAGGACCAGCTTTAACTCAGGTCACAGGATGGAAGAGGGGAAATGAACAACAGCTCTGCTTGCCAGGGACTTCTCTTTTTTTCCTTCCTGCGTAAACACTTTGGCTCTTCTCTCCCCACCCTTTTGTCTTTTGATCTCAGAAATGCATCTTGTGGGCAGACTCTGCACATTAACCAGCCTTGGTTTGGAAGTAGATTGTCATGTGAGGTCAGAACAAACAGTAACACTGTTCCCCCTGGCCCTCACGACTTCCATAGCTTCTTCTCCTGCCCAGGCTTTGCTGTGTGCTGCCCACACAGTCGTTCTGGGCATGAGGGAATTGAGGGCTCCTCTGACCGAGGAGCGTGTGATTTTTTCTTAAGTACTGAAGGGCTCTCTAAATCGTAGACAGCTTCACAAGGAAGGAATACAATGCAACATGGGCAATAAAAAGAGGGCAAAGTAGGGAAATGGGCCATGGACCTGTGTATAGTGCTCAGTTAGTAAAAGATCTTTAATTTTTAGATCCTGTTTCCTATTCTTCCTTGTATTTCCTTGGTAGTTTTCCAGAACCTTTTGAGTGTGAGTGAGGGGACTAAGGAGAGGGAAGCCAGGGCAGGATGTTGTCCAAGGTGGGCCCTGAGGAGGAGCTGCTCTGCTGCTGTGGATGTGCAGGTGACTGGGCCTGTGGAGGCCATATCCAGGCTACCTCGTGACGATGGCCTAGGTGCCCTTCTTCTCTGTTTATAGCCAAGCCCATTCCTTCTCCCCCATGACTTCCCTGATAAAACCAGCAAAGAAGAATATACCCTTGATCCCTGGCATTTAGAAAGTGCTACGCTCATGTTCTGACCCCAAGACCAGCTGCAGAGATGACCTATGTGCTCTACACCAACAAAGAGTGCGAGTCTGGCCTGGAGGCCAGCAGAAGACTGTGACAAGCCACCTCCCATGTGACATGCAGTGAGGGCGGAGGGGCAAGGAAGGGGGCCTCTGGGATGCTTTTGGCAAATGCCCTTTGGTCCTTCCAGAACCAGCCTAAACGTGGCCACTGTTTCACCAGTGTTCTCTCTGTTTGTGTCTGTCGGTGTAAAAGCGACGGGAAAAGGAGCGTTCTCGGACGTGCCCCAAAAAAGTGATCGCACTTTCTCCTCCCCCTACTCCACTTCCCTATCAGGCGCGGTGCGGCCAGCAGGTGATCTTCTCTGCATGCTCCATTGTCCTGTCTGTGTGTCTTCCTGCCTGCCTGTATAGGTGGCTAGAGCAGAGACCAAATCAAGATTCCCTCTTTTCGGTGATAACTGTTAAAATACAGAAAGACCATTTGTAGAAACCATCTGTAGCAGAAGCAACCTTTCTTGCTACAAATGAGCAATTCCACAAGGGACTTCAGGATAGTGCATAATACATTCAAACCCTGTTTAGTCTCGTCCCACAGCAGAGGAGTACAGCTCTACAGTCACCACTAGAATTTCAACTGTATTTGTCACAGGCACAGGGTCCAGAGGCCCTGGAGCACAACACATGTCTGTGTAACCCCATTTAAAGCAGCGTTTTTGTCTTGCTGCCCAAGGAGATAAAATTAAGATGAACTTTTAGATGCTTTCTGTAGGGCCTCACTATATGAGTTTGGTTCCTTTTGATTTTGAGAGCTCTGCCTCTTGCTTATGCAACTTCTGCCAACGAGCACCTGCCCTTCCCATCTGTCCCACTCACAGTGTGGGCAGATCATTCGAAAACTGCTTTATAGAGGAGTTAACGACAGACGTGGTCACTGAGGACAGTGAGCGTACGTTTGCGGCAAACACACGCCAAGTGTGCTTATAGCGTGGCTTTGTTGACCTCTGTAGTATGTCCCTATAAAATAAAATACTAATTTTAAAGGCAGGATCTATGGAAAGACATGTTCTCAACTAAGGTGGTCTATTTAAAAGGTGACTGCCAGCGACGTGTCTGATTTTTAAAGGCCCAGCCTGTGTCCCTCGGTCTGAGAACTGAGCTGTTGTAGGTTTAGTGACTCATCTCTCCATAAGAACTAACACTTGGGAGCATTTGCTATGATCCAGGCAGTATTCTAAGTTCTTTTCAGATGTTATCTCATCAGTTCCCACCATAACCCTACAAGACAGGTTCTGTTATCATCTCAATTGTACAGATGAAGAGACTGAGGCATAGGGTAGGGAGGCCAAGTGATTCATACAAGGTCACACAGTAAGTGATGGAGCCAGGAATTGACTCTGGGTGGTGTCACTGGAGCCTGAGCTCTGGCCTCATCCTGCCTGATGAAACATGGTGCTCATGGGCTCTGGATAGGAGGAGCCACAACGGAAGCTCTAGATCAGTTTCTCCACCAGTGCAGGGCTGTAAAGTAAATCCTCAGTTATCCAGAGGGGAATCAGTAGCCTCCCTTGTTTCCATGATTGCCATGTTAATGGTTTCCCCAGGTCACCTGGGGCAGCCACGTGCCTGTCGTACAGATTCCCATCCCTCTCATGTACGTGTTCCTGTCTGTTTACTGAAAATGCTTCCAGTCTTTGTCCACTTCTCCCTTTAATAAATTATGCTATGGTCCCTTGTTCCCATTCAGGGACCATTCCCCACACTGGAGTTTCCTCTGGACTGGTGTAATGGTCATTTATTCCAGCCAGTTTCCATCCCCCTACCTTTCCTCTCTAATGTCTTGTTGTGGAAACCTTCACCCTTCTAACCTGCCTCTCCTTTTAAACCTTCCATTTAGTGCCTCTGATCTTGTGCCACCATGTGAAAGAAGTCTGTTTGCTCCACTTTTTTACTAACCATAGTTCATTCTTTTTTTTTTAATTTTTTTTGTGTGTGTGTGAGGAAGATCGGCCCTGAGCTAACATCTGCCAATCCTCCTCTTTTTTTTTTTGCTGAGGAAGACTGGCTCTGGGCTAACATCCATGCCCATCTTCCTCTACTTTATATGGGACGCTGCCACAGCATGACTTGACAAGCAGTGTGTCGGTGCTCACCCAGGATCCAAACCCGCGAATCCTGGGCCAACGCAGCGGAGCGTGCGCCCTTAACCGCTTGCACTGCCGGGCTGGCCCCCATAGTTCGTTCTTTATCTGTGTAGCTGACCTCATTGGAGGCCAGGTGGGCAGAATGGCTGTGCAAAAAGTTGTCCTTGGGTCATGAATTTTATGTAGATGAGATTGTGGTTACTTGGGGTGGAGATTAGTAGGGAGCAGGGGATATGTGTTGAAATGAACTGAATTTCTGGCACTGTCACTTAGTAGGTCCAAGTAGAATATTTGAATGGAGCTTAAGTTTCTACTTTGTTGCCAACAGACGTACAGGGATCTTGATGCTGACAGCGGTGGCAAGCAGAGTCCCCACCATGAGAGGGTAAAAGAGCATGAACCATGGCATGGGATGCTGAGAGCCAAACAGATGGGGCACGCTGTGGTGGTGGGGCAGAGGGACGGTGGGGATGGTCCCCTCTCCCCTTGCTTTTTGCACGCTCTTGTCACTCAGCCAAGAGCCCGAATTCTTTTTGCTAACAACGTTGATCCATGCAAATAGCATTCACAGTAGAGCGTTCATCCAGCAATCAGATCAGATACGAATCCTAAGCGTTTGTGATGTAAAGGCCTTAATGACTTCCATTTCTGTCCACCTTTCCCATTCCAAAATGTGTGCCAGTGGTAGAATAGCATAGGGGAAGGGTCTAGATCATCACCCAGGTGGCATTTGCTTAGCGTTTTTGTTTTTGGTTTTTTTTTTGTAAGGAAGATCAGCCCTGAGCTAACATCTGCCAATCCTCCTCTTTTTTTGCTGAGGAAGATTGGCCCTGGGCTAACATCCGTGCCCATCTTCCTCTACTTTGTATGGGACGCCGCCGCAGCATGGCTTAACAAGCGGTGCGTCGGTGCGCGCCCAGGATCCGAACCAGCGAACCCTGGACCGCCGAAGTGGAGCATGCGCACTTAACTGCTTGCACCACTGTGCCGGCCCCTGCTTAGCATTTTAATAGTCAGGGATCTTGGGGTAGAAATACTGAGAGAGCCAAGCCTCACTGGTGTGGGAGTTCTCAAGTATGAAGAGGGTGGAGGGGAAGGAAGGTAATGGCAAGATGGGGATGCATAATGAAAAGCTTTAGCTAGTCTTCTAAAATCTGTACTGCTTACACTTGGCCATTGTATAATTTGGTGGAAAGCAGAGATGCCCATTTCCAAAGCCTGCTCATTTTATGAAACTGTGTTGGTTTTTATTGTTACTCTTGAAGATGCTCCCTGAGTGGGTGCTCTTCATTTCATATGGGCCTTTTTCCTTTATTTTTACCTCCCTTCTGCCTTTGCTTTCTGAGAAGTGCAGTTGTGTCTAAGCAGTGAATCCGGTTACTGCTCGGATCCAGCGGGAAGCCAGCCAGTCGTACTCCTGTCTTCCCACACCGTCTCACCAAGCTAGAAGCAGGCAGGCTGTGTGCTGCCAAGAGCTCGCGTGGAGGGGGCCCTGCCGGGCGGTGAGAGGAACCCCGGAGTGGAGACTGCCTCCTCCCATGAGCACCATGTGTGCCCAGCCTCTTTCTTCCTCCTTCCCAGGCTGTATTCCTCTCAAAAAGAAACTATTTTCACTGAGCAGGGCAATGCCCTACGTTTTGTGGAATGTGTATTTAATGAGGTCCTGATTATTTTTAATGAAACGGTGCCTAAACAAAGAATGGAGGGAAGTATGTGGAATAAAAGGAGAAGTTGGCAGGGAGAAACTATTGAGAAGGCTAAGGCTGCCGTGCACAGGAGGAAAGGGAGGCTTCTGAGCTCAGGAAGCAGTAAGGTTTGCCAGGAGTTTTCTTTCATTTCCCAGTGGACTGGTTACCAGATTCTTCAGTGAAGCGTTCCTGTCTAGATACTATTTAGGTTCTCTTCCAGGACTTTCTCTCCACTGTTCCATAATCTTGCTTGTGCACTCAGCTGCTCTCTGCCCCACCGTCTCCCCGACTCCCTCTTCTCTCCCCACCAGAGCTCAGTCTTGTCTCTTGTTTCTTTCTGGTGGGGGGTACTATTCTGCAGAGATCTCCCCCAGCTCCCCCCTAGGCCCTGTGTTGCTGAGCCCACCCTGAGTGCTGAGCTGAGGGCAGTGAGCTGGCTGAATGTCTGGAGCAGAGACTGGTGACGTTCCACATGGTCCCCCCTCGAAGCTATGAAGTTAGTGTGGGCTGAAGTAGGGAGTGCTATGGATCTACGTGGAGCTGGAGGGGCAGAGGGCTTCTCATTACCATGACAGTACCTCTTCCTTCCACCCTGTAAATATGTCACCTGAACCTGGTAGGAAACTAAGCAGTTATTGCTTGCCAAAGCTCTCAGCCACCTTCTCACTCTCTGGGGACTGGAGTGTTCTTGGTTGCATGGATTCACCACTGAGGAAGACTCTGGCCCACTTTTGCTACACATGCTGCATGCAGTCTACAGAGGACTTGAGGGCCTCAAGTCTTTTCTCCTGATCACTGCTGGGATTTGGCTGGCTCCTTGGCAAGCAGAGTTTCTCCAGCACTAGCAATAGGAGGAGGAGAAGCCACATTCCTGGCCTTTAAGTAGAAAGAGCGAGCTTCACTCTAGATTTGCTCGCTCTATTGTCCGCTATTTGTAAGGCCAGTGGAGTGATGAGGTGGTAGAATCTCCTTCTGCCCAGGAGAAATCCCAGCTCAGGCCAGTGAGGGGGTCTGCAGAGCACGAAGGACACGTGTGTGAGCAGGACACTGCCTCTGCCCTGCGCCACCTCCTGGCTAGCAGCATTCTCCACTGGGGGTGGATGGAGTAAGAGCACCCACAAGGGAAGACAGGGCCTTCACAGGTGGTTCACAGCTGCAGTGACCTCATGCCAGAGTGGCCTCACTGTAAGCATGAGGGAAGGACGAGCCAAAAGCAGAATGGAAGTCTTGAATGAGCCATTCATGCTTCTGGGAACCAAGAGTATTTCCTACTACATTTGTTATTTAGTTAAAGGTCTGAAGTAAAAGGGTCTAAAACTGCCACATTCCCTATGTCCAGGTCAGTGCATAACTTTTTATTTACTGTTTCTTTTCATTTTTTTTTTCTCCATCTTGTATTTTATAGCCAGAGCCTGAACCTTCTCGTCGATTTTTTGTCGACCAGTGGGAGCTTTCTCTTAGTCTCCGCTCCTCCAACCGCCCTGCCTCTCCCTCCTCTGACTCCCTCCGACAGGTAGCACGACCGGGACTGGGCACAGCTGTGTGTCATCTTCAGCTTCTGCTCACTTCACCTCCACAGATGTCACCTGGCCCAAGGGAGATTGCAGAGCCCTTAACTTTGGCTGTCTCCTGTAGGAATCCAGTGTGTGTGTTAACTTTGGCTGTCTCCTATAGGAATCCAGTGTGTGTGTTAACTTTGGCTGTCTCCTATAGGAATCCAGTGTGTGTGTGTCTGTGTGTGTGTCTGTGTAGTGTGAGGTCTGTAGGCATACACCAAAAGTTAGAGGCTGCTAGCTTTCATTGCCTCAAATTCTGTTGAAGTAAGCCCACTTTCATTATATGTCAACTGTATCAAATAATGCTTAACATTTTTCAGCCATTAGCTTTTTAAATTCCAAATGTCTTCATATTTATATGTGTTATAAAATATGAACCATATTATAATTAAATCTCTTAAATGGAGTGGTGAATATGCAGTATGCCAGGTGCCTCTTGAATTGTAATCGTTTGAGGAATGAACCCTGCTGTTGCCTACAGTGGAGCTGATCCAGCTGTAGAGCAGTTTACAGAGAGATTGGAGGGTCTTTTTGCCCTCCTGTGTATGTTTCCTGTTCTTGACCCAACTATGCGTGTATGTGTGGAGGCAGATGGGTGTGTCGTGTGCAACAGCATAAGTCCAGCGATTGCTATGGTTCAGCTGTTTCTTAAGAGTGGGGAAAGGGAACCATCTGCTTTCCATGCCGGAAACAAATGGAACTTGCATCTCCACCTCTCTTGGGGGGATGCTTGTCAATATTGTCATATCACAGAGAACTGAATGCGACGATTCCTTTGCACATGGCGGCCCTGGGCTGTAATTGCTGCGGGTGCTGGTTTCTGGTGGGAGAGGAGGGTCCTGGCTGAGTGGGGAGCACCCAGGGCCTGCTCAGTGTCTCTGTCTCATGCTTGACTTCTAGGCCCCGCTCTTGCTGGTCTGCTGCAGAGTGACAGAAGTGCAATTTTCTGTTCCCTCAGTGTCAGCTATTAAAGTATCTCCTCAGCTCTGCCTGGTGTCTGTCTGCTCCAGGCCTAAGCTTCCCTAATATCCCTAATTTAAAGAAGGTTTAATCTAGGAGCCACTTGTTTTTCTCAACCACTAATGAGTATAAGCTGTGGAGTTAATGGGCAAATGGCACCAATCCTTGGAAATCTCCTTATTTTAAATTGAAAAACAAAATTGACTCCTCAGTTCCAGCTGAACCTTGGGGATTGTTTGCTTGTTTGTGCTTCTGTGGGTCTCGTGTTGACATAGGGTTAGTGTCCCCCAGAGCAGTTCTCTTGGTTGTCCCAGCCCAGGGCAAGCCATTGCTCAGGCCAGTGATTCCCTTTGTGTTTGTCCACACCAACCGCTTCCTAATGGAGTTGTGGACATCCCCAAGACAACTGCTCCTGGTGTGGTTGTGAGTCAGAATTAGACTCAGGGCTCCTCACACACGGTAGCTCCCTCACTCCACGTAGTTCATGAGAGGACTGTCACACATACTAGGTGTCTTGGCCATCTCCACACAGAAGGCTGACCTGGATGTGGACTCTCTAAAGGACCGCCAGCAGCTTTGACCTTGTTCCCTAGGGACAGGCTCAAAGCTGGGCTGCCTAGCGGGAAGACTTACGATTGAACTTGGGTAGTTTTCTCCTGTCACTTCTTCAACAGCCAAAAAGGATTGAGTTGGTTGGGTTTTGTCTTTTATCTTTTTTCCACCTATAAAAAAATAATTCCTCCTGGACTAGAAACACATTCTGACTTCCCAGGACTCAACTGAGCAACTTGTCTGCATGGCTGTGCTGTGTTTGAGGCGCCCAGCCCAGTCTGGAAAGCTTTGGCCTCAATGTCTGGGTAGAACAGATAAATATCAACAGGGAGAAGGCGATGAGAAGGATTCCTCCAGATAAAGCTCAGGAATATTTGGTGCACGTGGCAGGGGTCATGCATGAAGCATTAATACTGAGGAAGGAGACCATCACACGTTAGACGAGGCTGTGGGAATCTGTCACCCAAGTGGAGAGTCAGCCTTGGCCAGAGTGAGCTTGGTTTCTTTCTAAATGAGGAAGTAACTTCCTGAGCCCTCTCCCAGACCCTTGAAACATGCTGTCAGTCGGTGTCCGCTGTCTGGATGGGAGTTGTTCCTCTTGAATTCTTTGTATGTAATTTGAGTCACCAGGATATAGGCCCTTCTTACTCTCCTCTGTATTTGCGGCCATCCTGTCTTCCCACCTCCCCATTGCCCTGCACTATATATTCCAAAAAGATGTGAAAGACTAAGTTCCCCTTACTGAATTGAATGATTCCTGCAGCTGTTGTTCCAGCCTATGGTGATACTCTGTGTGGACGCTGACACCTGTTTTTCTTACCACCAAGTCTCCCTGCTTGTGGGCACTGTGTTGGCATGGTTTGCTGCTGCACCTTGTATTCATTTTATGCCTTTCAAAGATTTTTTTTTCTGTCTTCTTAATTTATTTATTTTTTTCCTTCTCATTTCCCTTCATTCTGGTCATTTTATAATCTCCAACCAATAGAAGTATATAAAGATGTACACGGGCGGAGTGAGCTCATTGGCTGAGCAGATAGCCAATCAGCTTCAAAGGAAAGAACAGCCCAAAACCCTTCTAGACAAGAAGGACCTGGTAAGAGATATACTAAGGGCACTGTCTGTCTAGATATAACACAGCTGTGGTAAACAAACCTGGTTTGTTCTAAGTAGCTTAGTAACATATATAGTCAGTATATGCCATGTGGTAAATTTTTTTGAGATTGTCTAATTGTAACTGAATTTCTAGGACTGAAGTAGTTGTTTAGAATGTTGTGTGGAAAAGCATCATCAGTATGTCTAAAAGGGATTGCTCCAGAGTCCAGGGGACCCACATCCACGCAGAACCACGTGAACACTGAGTATATATTTTTATGATACCTTCAAAATATAATTCTGTCAAAATAATGTGGTTTGATTGTTATGAACTCCTGTAAAAGGGACTCGGGTTTCCTCTTGGGTGTTGACTAATGTCGATGTGGAGCCCGCCTTGTGCAGAGTGCTCTACGGGGTACATATGACACAGTTTGCAGTTGTGCGCTGGCTGCTCTCTGGGAGAGCCAAAAGCACAGTGAGCCGTCTTAGTCTCTCGCAACAAAATCGCCCAGTGAGGGTCAGTTTCACATGTGGAGAGGAGGGGTCGAGCACCTCCTGGAGGTGAGCCGGAGAGGCGTTGCCCTGAGTACCCCTCCACCTTCCCCTCACAGGGCTCTATAAAGAAGGAGTTCCCACAGAACTTGGGAGGCAGCGACACGTGCTATTTTTGCCAGAAGCGGGTCTACGTGATGGAGAGGCTGAGCGCCGAAGGCAAGTTCTTCCATCGGAGCTGCTTCAAGTGTGAGCACTGCGCCGCCACCCTGCGCCTCTCGGCCTACGCCTACGACATCGAGGATGGTGAGTCCACTCGAGCCGGAGGCCGTTTCGGAGCTGAGCTGAGGGGCACTGCTCCCGTTTGAGCTGGACTTAGGGCCTCTTACTGTATTCATATGTATGTCTTTTCATTCTGCCTCTCCTCACCATTCCCAGCCATCTCCCTCTGTTCTTTGTTTTTCCTCTAAGGTTCTTTCTTAGAGTATTTCCCCAGAGTCGTGAGACTGTATTACAGCTTTGCTCAGTAATGGTGGTGATGAGAATGGCATGCGTTTACATGTCATTTCCCTGGCTTCGCAGACACTTGCTTTCTTACCTCCTGGTGAGATTGTAAGATAAAAGGGACACAATGAGGATAAGTCTTTTTTGTCTCTACTTTAGAGAAGGGGGATTGTAGGCCTATAGAAGTCATATTTCTTGCCTAAGGTCAATGACAACAAGTTGAAACTAGATCCCATGCCCCTGAGTTCTTAGACTTTTGCTTCCTGAAATGACTGAATTGCTCCTGGCACCACCACCTCTCTCTGGCATCAGCATCTTTCTGATGAATTGAGAGCTCATTGCACAGGGCCTAAATCTAACTTACTGTGTTGTCCAAGCCCTGGCCTTTTGTGACATTTGTTGTTTTCATAGTGGAAAGACCTTGATAGCACAGAAGGTAGAAAATTATGCAAACAGATAACAAAGCCTGATAGACAGACTGAGGCAGGCTGGCATGCCTGCCGTCTGAAGACCCTTTAAGATTAATTAAAGAAGGTCATCAAAGACGTTGATGATTCTTACACCCAGTCTTACAGGATGCTGAAGGAACTTCACAAGAGGCAGTCTTACTGACTCAAAAGTAATGAAGGGCTTAGATTAATAGGAGAGGGAAATAAATCCTCACAGGGGTGGCATCGTGTCTGTTATATTGACAGGTAGTGTCTTAACTGAGAAGACTGTCAGGTGATGTCGTACGGGAGAGGGCACCATGCCATCAGTAAGGGGTCACTTCACGCACTCCTCATAGTGAGCAAACAGCAGCTCTGTCAGAAGCAGCAAGAAAGGAGCCAGAGTGTGGAACTAAGCAAAGCCAACTCTTCCCATTGTGGTGCCTGGTTCTCTTGTTACATTAGTAAGAAGCAGCACCCAGTGAGGGAAGGATTAGGACAGTTGTCTAGATAAGGAAGGTGTGTTGTTAGGGATCACATTTTCCGTTCCACCATTCCCACATGCCTGCTCTTTGGGTAAGGCCTTTGATCTCCAAGGATAGGAATTGGCTGGTGGAGCCCACTTGATGTCTTTTAACCGTCCTTCATGTGCTGGGTGTTTTAGTTAGCCTTTGACTGTGAGATGTGCCTGGAAAGAAGATCCCTCATGGTCCAGTCATTGCATTCTGATTGACATGATAAGACAAGGGCACGTGAAGCCAAAACAGACAATGGAAGAATATATGATTAAGGGCTAAGTCACATAGTACAAACACAGAGTAGGGAGAAATCAGTGAGGCTCAGTAACCGTTAGGAGTGACTTAACTGGCCTCAGGCTAGACTCTGAGAGAAAAATTCACGAAGTGACTAAGAAGTAGGGGGAAGAGGTGGCATACCAGCTGAGGACGACAGGAGCCCAGATGGGAACGCCCATGAAGTTGGGACTGGACGAGGCAGGCCAGCCCGCTGAGTGCACTGTTCCTGACAGGGGGGCAAGGAGGACAAGGAGTCTAAGCCAGCTCCCCAAATTTTAACCCAGGTGAACTTTTCATCAGCTCAGCCACTCCTCAAAGGACAAGTGAACTAGAGAAAAGAATGGAATTTTAGGGGTCCTGAGGTTTTAACCTTTCTTCAGCCAAATTACTATGTGATTCAGAAATCTAAATGAGGAGCCTCAGATAAGAGAAGAACGACCAGTGAAGTTGTGGCTCAGGAGAAAGGAGATCACCGAGACACTGTGCTGGGCCCTTTAACATGTACAGTGCCATTTTGTCCTCACCACAGCCCCAAAAGGGAGCTAGTTTTATGATTATAATTTTGCAAATTAGGAAACTGAATTCAGAGAAGTTGTAGGTTGCTTGTCCAAATTCACCCAACTAGTAAGTGCTGATTTGCACTAAATGACCTCTGAGAACCCTTCCAGGTCAGACATTCTGGCATTAGTGACTCTGCGCCCATGTCAACTCCAGACTGGTAAATTGAGAATCATACACTTCAGGGAAGTATCCATGTTTCACCCTTGTCCCTGTTTATTCTTCCCTTCAGCTCTTTTATTTATTTATTTATTTAGGAAGAAAATTTTATTTTATTTTTTTAATTTTTTGTTTATTGCAGTAACATTGGTTTATAACATTGTATAAATTTCAGGTATACATCATTATACTTCTATTTCTGTATAGATTACATCATGTTCACCACCCAAATACTAATTACAACCCATCACCACACACATGTGCTGAATTATCCCTTTCGTCCTCCCCCTCCCCCCTTCCCCTCTGGTAACCACCAATCCAGTCTCTGTCTCTATGTGTTTGTTTATTGTTGTTATTATCTACTACTTAATGAAGAAAGTCAAACGGTATTTGACCTTCTCCCTCTGACTTATTTCACTTTGCATAATGCCTTCAATGTCCATCCATATTGTCACAAATGGCTGGATTTCATCGTTTCTTATGGCTGAGTAGTATTCCATCGTGTATATATACCACATTTTCTTTATCCATTCGTCCCTTGATGGGCACTTAGGTTGCTTCCAAGTCTTGGCTATTGTGAATAACGCTGCAGTGAACACAGGGGTGCACATATCTTT